GGAAGCTGAGTTTATTATTAGTCCTTTAAGGACACTGCACAGATGTGCAAAAAGATGAACGTTTGTCATTCAGAAACATTGCTTAATAATATTTCAATAAAAAATGTAACTTACATGCAGGAAAGTCCACAAATCATGTAGCCTAGTGAATTATGACATGCTGAATACACTCATGCAACTGATATTCAGATCAAGAAGTAGAACATGACTAGCGCTCCAGAAGCATCCCTGTGCCCCCTTCAGATGGATACTAGCTCCCATTTCTCACATGTATAACCACTGTCCTGACCTCTTCCCTGTTTTTAAATTTTGTATAAATATATATAAATGTAATCATACCTTTTGTATTCTTTTATGTCTGTCTTCTTTCACTCAAGAGCATCTCTGTGAGATTTATCTATGTTGTATGTAGCAGCAATTTGTTGATTTTCATTACTGTAAGGCAATTCTATGAATGTGCCACAGTTTATATATCCATTCTACTGCTGATGGACATTTGAGTGTTTCCAGTTGGGTGCTATTACAAATAACGTTACTATGAACATTCTTATAGATGTTGTATGGAGTAAGTATGTATGCATTTCTGTTGATTTATGAGTGTCATTGTTGGGCCATAGGGTATGTATATGTTCAGTTTCAGTAGATACTGAAAAGTTTTTTTCAGTGAAAATTGCTCGTTTTCAGTTTTTCAACACTATGAGAAAGTTCTAGTTAACAATGTTCGATATTGTTGATCTTTTTCAATTTAATCTGATTGATATGCAATAGTATTTTATTGTGGATTTAATTTTTGTTTCCCTGTTGACTAATGAGTTTGAATACCTTTTCATATGGTTATTGGCTATTTGGGCACCTTCTTTTGTGAAATAGTAGCTCATGTGTTGCCTATTTTTCTCTATTGTGTTGTTCATCCTCTTATTGATCTGAAATAGTTCTTTATATATGTTGGATAAAAGTAAATTGGTGGTTATATGGATTACAAATATCTTCTTCCATACTGTGGCTTACTTTTTCTTAATCGTGTCTTTTGATGGACAAAATTTTGATATTTCATTTATATATCTTCTCTTTTATTATAGATTTTTTTATGTCTAGTTTAAAATTTTTTTCCTACTCCAAGGTCACTCACATTTTAGCTCTATTTATTTTGTGTATGATGTAAGGTAAGGACCAAGAGTTCTGCTTTTCACATTTAGCTCTATTTATTTTGTGTATGATGTAAGGTAAGGACCAAGATTCGCCTATGGTTATCCAGTTGTTCTAGCACCATTTATTGAGAATACTCTCTTTCTCCCAGTATTCTGCAGTACATCTTTTATCACAAGTCAGGTTTCCAAATATTTGTGGAAACTTTTCTGGACCCCAAATGCTTTAATTGGCCTGTTTTTCTTTCCTTGCTTTAGTACACTGGCTTAATCTCTATAGCTGTATATGCCTTGATATACGGCCCTTTAACTTTGCACTTCTTTCTCAAAATTGCCTTAGATATTCCTGGGCCTTTGCATTTTCATATGAATTTTAAAATTGGTTTATCAATATCGCAAAAAATATGCTTGGATTTTAATTTACATTCCACTAAATCTATAAATCAATTTGAGAAGATCTGACATCTTTATAATACTGAGTCTACCAGTCCATGAACAGAATTCAGTAAATTTAATTGCACATCAACTCTGTGCTAATCACCACACTGAGCTTAGATGTGGTTTTTGCCTTTGAAGGACTCACAAATGGGTAAACAAGCACTTATACAAAAAAATATAATAAATGATAGTAATAAGAGCTAATATTTATGAAGTATCCATTATTTGCCAAGCATGATTTTAAGGATATTATATGTATGAAGTCATTTATGTTTCACACTGATACTTTGAGGTAAGTACTGTTATTATGCCCATTGTATAGATATTTTTTCTCTATCCTAACAGGGTCCAAGAAAAGAGAGCACCAGGTAAGGCAAAGAAGTCAACAGAAATGTTACAAAAAATGTGAAAATTTAGCTGATTTCTGAAGCAGTTTGCCGGGAATGGAGGAAGTGGAACATTCCAGGCATATGAGCAGCATGTGGGAAAAAATACTGCAGGGTGAAATGATAAGGCTTTTCAGGAATCTGCCAGTGAGTGAGTCCCAGGACTAAAATGTAGTGTGGTGGGGAAGAAGATTGTGTTTGGAGAGGCTGGAGAGGCAGAGGCTGCAGGTCTTTCATCTGTGCAATTTGAGCTTTATCCTGAAAGCAATGACTGTGGAGCAGTTGACTGTCTTAGGTTGGGTTCCCAGAAGCGACTTCATTTCCTAGGGCTGCCTGCCATACATAGTACCACAAACCAAAAGCTTAAAACAATAGAAATGTATTCTCTCACAGTTCTGGAAGCTAAAAGTCTGAAATCAAGGTGTAAGCAGAGTTGGTTCCTTCTGGAGCCTCAGAGGGAGTCTCTCTTCCATGCCTCTCTGAGCTTTTGGTGACCATCCTTGCCATTCCTTGTCTTGTAGATGCATCACTCCAATCTCTGCCTCTGTCATCACCTGGCATTCTTCCCTGTGTGTCTTTTCTAAGGACAGCAGTCATGTTGGATTTAGAGCCCACTCTAATCCAGTCTGACTTCATCTTAACTAATTGCATCAGCAAAGATACCGATTCCAAATAAAGTCACATTCCCAGGCACAGGGGGCAGGACTTCCATGTATGTTTTTGGAGGACACAGTTCAACCCATCACACAAACCCTCAGGTGAGGATTTGGGTGCAAATGACTTACTAAGGAAGTGCTCCCAGGGGAAACCAATAAGGAAGTCGGGGAGCGAGATAGGGGAGGGAAGAGACCCTGCCAGGCTGTGACCTCAGGCAAGGTCCCTAAGGAGAGTTTCAGTCTAATCCTGTAGGGCCATTTTGAAGTGTCAGGTACCCCTCAGAGTTGTCCTCCCTTGATTCAAGGGAGCTGAGACTTTCATATTAGGCATAGCAAGCTCCAGTGATCTGAGGACAGCCCTCCAGAAAAGAGTGACAGGTGCTGACCACTAGAAGCAAAGGCACATCAGTGCCAGGGTCACATTAAAATAATAAAAAGGAGTTTGAGAGGATCTGGTTGGAGCACCTTTATTGTCTGTTTCTTTGCCCTCTGCTCCCCTTCTTCAAGAATTGTGGCCTCATGGCCACTCCTCTCCAATCTAGATAGTGTCAGACTGCTTTGGGGCTGTCTGTCTCAGTCTGTCTGTCACTCAGAGATCTCAGCTTTCTCCTGGCACCATAACTATCATTTTCTGTTTGACACTGCTGAGCCCCACACTTTTCTTACTCCATCGTGCCTTTCTTTATAGACATCAGTAAGCTTAATCGGAATGCTTCTTTACTTTTGTGGGATGAACTGAACAATCACAGCATGAGATTTGCAATCTTTGTGTCTCAAAGTTCTCTGGGATAATACTGTGTTGGCAGCTCATGGACCACTGCTACCTTATCCAAGATGGCGGTTCTAGTTTTTGGAGTTTTAGAGTGCTTCATTTGCATGACTGAAACTAGTTTGAGGAAGTTGGACAACTAAATGCCTCTCCACAACAGGGGGATTATCAAACTTACATAAGTGTTATATGTTAAATGAATTGATTTAAACTTTTTAAAATTTAATCGACATTTGTGGAATACCCATACTATGACGAATATACTCAGTATGTGTAACCATGGGTGGAGTGTTAAACCGGGAGAAGGTGTGGCCCTACGCCTGCCGCTAGGTGGTCTTGCTACCTTGAGAGGGTCTGTTGACCTCTTGGTGTCTTTGTTTCCTATCTATGAAGTTGGAAGGCTAGAATGGAGACTTCTTGGAATAGCTTGAGGCTCTAATCGTCTATAATTCCATGTTTAAAGACCAGACTCTTAGCACTTTAATCAGGCAGTAAAGTAATTTAAACCTCGATTTATATCGATTTCAAGAAACTTGAATTGAGTGTCTATTAGATGCCAGGTTCTGTGCTAGGTGCTAAGGATACAAAGAGAATTAAAATCCAGTTTCTCTCCAGCAATAACTGACAGTCCAGTGGAGAAGGTGTATAAAAAGAGAATTGCAATTCAGTGCAAAAATTGCAATAAAGAATTTCCATCTTAGGAGATTGGGGATACAAACAGAGGGGTGACCACCATTGCTGAGAAGTCCCTTTATCTAGATTTCAATGAAAACATTTTCTGGGTAAATGTGAGAAGGAAAAGTATAATGTAAATTTTTAACTCTAGTTACTGTAATCCCACAATAGAAGTTTATTTCTAGTTTATACAAAATATGATATAGATGTCTCTGGCCAGTGAGTGGTTCTTCGTGTGGTTATTCAGAAGTCTAAGTTCCTTCCATCCTGTGGCTCCTTTTCTGAGATGCCAGAGTCCTCTGCTGTACCCCCTGCATTCAGCAGGCACAGGCAGGAGAGGAAGAGTGGAGGATCACGTGGAAAGTTTGTATGAGCCAGGTTGGAAGTAGCATGCATCACGTCTGCCCATGCTTTCCACTGACAGAACTGGGGCACAGCAGACCTAACTGCAAGGGAGGCTGAGAATGTGGTCTAGCTGAGTGCCCACTAAAGAAAAAAAAAGAAAAAAAAAAGAACTGTGTTTTGGAGAACATACAGCAGTCCCTGGCAGTTTGTGCTATGAGCAGCTAGATTTCCCTTGGGCCAATCTAATGGAAGTGTAACATTATTAGATAACTGTCAAGATTAGACTGCTCTCCAGGGACTGTCTTTATTAGATCATGGTTCCTGGGAGAGAGCTCACCACAGCCTTGGTTGGTTCAAGTATTTCCAAGTGAGAAAGCAGTTCAGGCATCTAGCAGGTTCTGAAATGTGAGGGAGTTGGGTGGAGTGAGTAAGAGTTCACTACCGAAATGGATGAGTCTGTCCCACGGTCCGCTGCCCCTCTAACCCACAGGTCTAAGATGTTGATGGAGAACCCATTTCCATCCATTTGACAAATGAAAAGCTGTTGATTCCTATGCTTATAATCTGCTTTCTCCTCTCTCCACAGTGACACTTTCTGCTGCTACTCCCTCCTACTTCAGAGGATTCACATTAATTGCCCTCAAAGAGAATAGAGAGGGTGATAAGGAAGAAGACCATGCTGGGACTTTCCAGGTAAGACTCCTTTTGGGCTTATCCGGTGGCCCTCATTGCCCTAGGAGGTAGAGGCCAAGCTAAAGGTGGACAAACTGAGAAGAAGCCTGAGTAAAATGAGAGGCGCAAGTGTCTGAGGTGGCTTCTTGTGCAGTTCTTTTGACCATTTGGCCAGGCAGGCCAGGTCTACATGTAGGACCCATTATGGAGCAGGCAGCAAATGCCTCGAGTCTGCCTTAAGGCCTTCGGGGTTGGCCAGCAGGCCAGGCTCACAGTGCCTTTGGGCAGCAGACAGTCCAGTGTGGTGAGAGTGCTCGGAACCCTGGCGAGGCCCAGCTGTTTTTCCTACACAGCCATTTCGTGATTGACTGGCAATTCTCAAGTGTAAATGGAGCAAGAGCTTAGGATGGCCAGACTGGAGGGAGTTCAAAGCACAGGGGAAGGATTATTAAGGGAATGAAGGGATTGATTTACGAGGGAAGACTAAAAGAATTAAACATGCTTTGCTTGGCTAAATGAACAGGGCCGAATTTAAGAGGTGGTAATGGTCTTTAAATGTCAGTCCTCGCAGAACGACCTCCTCCAGGGGAGGCTCTGTCTGACTTTGTACAAAAGGGCACAGCACAACGAAAGTGGGTCAAGAGAAGAAAGGGAATCTCAAAGGCAAGGGCCCTGACAGTGAGTCATATTTCACCATGGAATATTCTTCCAAGGGGAGTGGCGGGAACATCATCCCCTTTCAGAGGTTTTAAAAGAGGCCGGCGAGTTGTCAGAACATGTCCCAGAAGGACTGGGGCGATCCTAGGAGGGGGTTTGGACAAATTTGCTCTAACTGTTTCTCATCTCAAGTTTCCATTGTTCTGGAATCCATTTTTATCTGGCATTTGCAAACTCAGAAGAAAAAAATTTCCAGTAAGAATACTTATACCCATATCCGGCTGCTAGGGACTTGATATAATTTGTGGGCTTCACAGGGGACCCTGCCCCAAAATATCTTCCCCATCCGAAGACATCTTTTCATCCCTTGTGGCCAGATTGTAATTTTGAATCTTGTGACTTAAAAAATGTCTATCGTTTAGGATTCTGGGCTTTAGGCCTAGTGGGTCTGTTAATTACGTGCTCATTATAATGTCTTTCTATGCACCTAGAAGGCAGGATCTTTCTTGGCATTGTATCTGAAGGAGTTACCCAATAATAATACTAATGACAGGCAGTATTTTGGGGGTGCTTACCATAAGCCAGGCACTAGGTTAAGTGCTTTACCTTACCTTAGTTTATCTTAATTAGCTTGCTTTATCATAGTTTAGCTCTCAAAACAACTAAGTAGATAGGAACTATTACCTCTATTTTATAGATCAGGAAATTGAAACTAGAGAGATTAAATCATTTGCCTAAATGGCTAGTAAATAGTAAGGCCAGGATCCTCTAGCAGGTGTCTGATTCCAGAGATTAAATCACTTCCCTGTAGTACTGAATAAGCTCCTAGCACAAGTGTGATTGGACACTGTATCAATAAGTCTGTCATAATAGAGAAAGATTCATGCATTCATTCAACCCATAAAACATTAAAATATATTCTCTTTGACCTTGTTGTGCAAATTTACCTGGAGGTGCTGATGACTTATCAGATTCAGGCAGCTGAGACATCTGGGTACTTGAGTGTCAGGAGAGGTAAAGTTCTAAGAAGGGAAAAGGTGGGGGGTTGGATGGGGGAGCGTGATCTTAATCTTTACCCAAACAAAATTGATCTTTGTATAACCAAAAGAGCTGGACTCAAAGAGATATTTGAACACCCATGTTCATTGCAGCTTTATTCGTTATAGCCAAACATCCATCGATGGATGAATGGATAAACAAAATGTGGTATATACATACAGTGGAATATTACTTATCTCTAAAAAGGAAGGAAATTCTGACACATATTGTTACACGGATGAACCTCAAAGACATTGTACTAATTGAAATAAACCAGTCACCAAAGGACAACTATGGTATGATTCCACTTATATGAGGTAACTGGAGTAGTCAAATTCATAGAGACAGAAAGTAGAATGGTGGTGGCTAGGGGGTATGGGGGAGGGTAAATAGGGAATTATTGATGAACAGGTATGGAGTTACAATTTGGGAAGATAAGAAAAAGTTCTGGAGATAGATGGTGGTGATGGTTGCACGACAATATGAATGAACTTAATGCTACTGAACTGGACGCTTAAAAATGGTTAAAATGGCAAATTTTATGTTATGTATATTCTACCACAATTAAAAAAAAAATGATGCCTGAGTTAGGCCTGATGGGGATATAGCTTCTTTCTTTAATGCTGTTCTGTTTTAATTCAATAGATTGATATTCCTCTCCAACTTATCGTTTTTCCTCAGCTAAATCTTGATCCTTGCAACTGATTGGTGAATAGAGGGCCCTGCTCACAATGGGCAGTGAGTAAATGTTTGTTGAATGAATAAATGAACAAATTATTCTTTCTACCAGTATCTATAACTTAGTCCTGTTTGGAATTGCTTCAGAACTCCTACCTTATTATGCATATTTCCTTTTCTTTCTGTTGGAGCTTCTGACATCTTTTTTTGTTACACCACAGTAGTTCTCTGAGTGTGGTCTCTGGACCAGCAATATCAGCACCATCTGGGAACTTGTTAGAAAACAGAATCTCAAGCCCCACCCAGACCTACTGAGTCAGAAGCTCTGAGGGTAGAGCCCCCATACCCGGGGTTTTAACAAGGCCTTAGAGTGAAACCAATGGACACTCACATTTGAGAACCATTGTTGAAAAGAGACATGGATCCAGCCCATCCAACATGGATTCCTCTATCATCACATCAGCATATCTGTCCTCTCATTGCTTCCGCCAGCCCGGGAGGGATCCAAGTGGGAAACAAATATGAAAAATGCCTACCATACAATAATAATGCCTGTGTGCCAGATGTTGTTCTAAGTAGTTCACACTTATTAACTGATTCAAGCTTCAGAGAAACATCATGAGATAAGCATTATTGTCTTGTTTTTCACAGATGAGGAAATTGTGGCCATTGAGCAATTAAGTAACTTCCTTAAGACCACTCAACTCTAAGTGATAAAGCTGGGCTTCAAACCTAGGCATCCTGGCTCCAGGTCCCTGCTCCCAACCATGGTGTATACTGCCTCTCAACATGCACATAAGTGAAAAAAATGAGTGTATACTATGACTTTTTTATAGTGGTCGTTTCTGTGCTAAGGGCTTTATATATATTATTCTACTTAATTCTTGTAGCCGTCTCGTGAGGTCAGTATTGTTATCCCCATTTTCCACATGATGAAACTGAGTCTCCAAAGGGGTTAAGTAAATCGACCAAAGTAATTCAACATCTACAGGGAGAGAGGGAGGCAGACACTGTGCTAGTGATTTCTTCATACATCTGACTACACCTGCCCTGCCTTGTGCATTAAATGCACACTCCACTTGGGTTCCTGTCATCTCAAACGTTAGAGGATGAGGCATCATAGCTCACACCTCCATCTTTCCTCTCCTGCTTTAGACATAGTGGTCTCTATGCCTTCCCCCTCGCACTCTAGCACAAAAGTCTTTTCTCTCTGTACCAAAGCTGTCATCTTTGGAGTCATTCAATTATCCATCAGTATTGATTGAGTGTCTCCTATGTGCCAGGCACTGGGGAAACAATGGTCAGAAAAACAGATGTAGTCTTGCCCTCATGGAGTATACAGTGTCCTCTTTGTAATTGTACCTTAAATTACCTGTGCTGCAAACAGGCATGGCAGAAAGTCTGCAAGTCATCCGCTGGAACGTGAGCAGATGATCAGAAACTACATAAGCCCTTGTAATTTTAAAAATATGTAGATAGAGATTAATAAATATTTAGATATGCCCCTTGTTAAATATGACAGCTTTGAGGACTTGATATCAACAACGAAATTCTAATGCTTTTTAAATCTAGTGAAAGATTACATTCTTAGTTCTAAAAGTAACTCTGAGAGTCAGTGATTTTGCTTCTAACTGAGTGAGCCCTTACACGAAGAATACAGACTCACCAGGTAACCAACACAACAAAAGCAAAATTTAATGCCTCTTTAGATTCAATGGGGAGGGACCCGGGCTGCTTGGCACAGGGAGGGTAAGGGTTACAACTCTCACCACCCCGGCAGGGGGCCCAAGAGAAGAGGTGGGGCTTCCTCCTGTTTCCAGCTGCTGGTCCTGCATGGCAGCACCAGCACAGACTAGGGATCTGTCTCTGGCTGCCAGACGGGAGAGACACAAGAATCTCTCTTTGATGAGCTGTTTAGGTGTACTCATGATCAATTGAAAGTGACAAGGAATGCAAGTCCGGACTGCCTGTACAAAGTAACCCGTCCATCCTTTAAAACTGCATTGCTAACAATGAATTGCTTCCTGGAATGTTCATGGCCCAGCCAACTGCCTGGTCCACTCTCCCACGTCCTTCAGGTCTCTCTGCTCAGATGTTCCTTTCCCAGGAAGGCCGTTCCAATCACCCTATTTAAAAGTTCATCCCCCTCTTCTACTCCTGAGCTGGACTCCCTATCCCTCTAACCTACTTAATCTATTTTTTTTTTTTTTTTTGCTGTTGCTGGAGGCAGGAAGGAGACTGGGAGCTGGGCCAGGGAAGGAGACCCCTCCTCTTTAAAAAAAAAAAATTTATTATTAATTTCAAGTATACAGTACATTGGTTAGACATTTACATAGTTTATAAATGATCCCCCTGATTGCTCTTTCTCTCCTCTGGCTCTCCACCTCGCCATTACATTAATGCTAACTACATTCCCTATTCCGTGCTCCCCACCCCGTGACCATCTATCAACTACTAATTTGTACTTCTTTAACCCTTCACCTCTTTCTCTCAACCCTCAACTCCCCACCCCTCTGCCACTTAAATTTTATCTGTTGCCTTTATTGCTATCTGACGTGCAATTTATTCTACTTGTTGACTTGAGCATTACCTGCCCCCTTCCACTAAATTATAAGCTCCACGAGACAGGGATTTCTATTTATCCTGTT